CCTCTCTTTGCGCTGCCAGGCAAGAGTCGCGATGAGTGGCGAGTGCCCTATGTGCAGGGCGGCCTATTTCCACATCTGAAACGTTGATATTTGTATTGATTGTCGCGCCTTGGACACTTTTCATCGCTGGTCGAGATACTTGGAGCTGCCGAAAGAAAACCTCTGACTATCTCAGGCCCGGAAACCTCAAACAGCCGACAATGTTAGGACCCTTCCCCTGCGCAGGTTCTTCGATGTGACATATTGAACTTGTTATTGCAGGGCAGTGCAAGGGCATAGCGTCTCCTGTCGATTTCTCCAGAAGATGAACTGACGGGCTGAATGTTTAGGTAAATTAAATGCATGTTCGCAATGATATCTATGATGTTTCGAAAGGTGCTGATTTGGTGCAAAGACTGCGGATTTCCGAAAGGTGACTCAAGATACTTATTGTGGATTGAGGCATTTTTCCTTCAAATTGGGCACGCTGAGGGTCCTGTGTTAAGTTTCCTGACCGAAGGATCAAGGTGGAGGGGCTCAAATGCCAGTGGGCTGGATCGAAAGTCCGCCATCCTCTCTCAAAAAGAACTCTATCCACGGAGCACCAGAAACTATTGCGAGGGCCATTCACGGCCACCTATCCGTGTCAGTTTTTTTTTAAAGCACGGGCTTCCTGCCAGGCTGCTTCAGCCAAGTGCGAGGCAGCAGCCAAGCCACATGGGAGATCAAAGGGGCCCAGTCTTGGAAGGCTCCTCCAAATAAGGGCTCCCGTGCTTGTTTCTCCGACTCTGCGGGCGCTAAAGTTACCTTGCCCAATAGAGCTCCCCTTCTGCCAGGTTGTTTCGACCATGCGCAAGTCTGCAGCCAAGCCCACTTTTTAAAAAAACTCCAAAACAGCATTCCCACTCTGACAGGTTGCTGCAGCCCAGCGCAAGCGCAGAGGCCGGGTGACATTCCAGGAGCAGCCCATCTTCTCAGCGTCCTTCAAATAGGGCTCCCATTTGAACAGGTTGCTGCGCCATTTCAGCGTTTCGTTAGGATTCTGACAGGGTTGCTGCAGCCAAGCGCAAGGCCAAGCCGCCTGAAGCCTCAGAGGCCGCGTTCCAGGAGTCCATTTTCAGCGTTTTGCGAGGAAAGCTTTTTCAAATGAGGGTTCCCATTCTGACAAGTTGCTGAAGCCAAGCGCAAGTCTGGAGCCAAGCCATTCAAAGGCCCAGAGGTCAAGTGACATGCCAAAAGCCCGCCGTTTTAGCGTTTCGTTAAGAAAGTTCCTCCAAAACAAGGCTCCCATTCTGAGGCTGGAGCTTCAGCATTTCGGCCAGGTTGTGCGTGTCAAACGGAAGCCTGCGCCAGGAAGCTGCTTGGAGGCGGCTCCTTCTTCTCAGCGTATCAAGTGGCACGTTTGGTGTGCCTGAAAGTCCATTGCCGCTTCCAGGATGCCCAAGCTCAAGAGATGCTTGAGAAGCAATGGGATCAGATCAGTTGGGGCAGAGGGTGTTGACCTGCCTCAGGAAGCTTCGTTGCAAGCTCTGGAGAGGGGCTCCGCTCCAGCAAGATGCTGATTCGGAGAACAACTTGCCAAAAGCTTGACGCGGCAACCGTGCCAAGCAAGCCGCCCGCCAAGTGCATAGGTCCCTCGCCAGCCCTGTCAAGCCATTTCTAAAAAAAAACGGCCAAGGCAGGAAGTGACATGGGAAAGGGGGCAAAACAAATGAGTGCGCTCCGGGATTTCTTCCAATGCTTTCGCGCTGGCAGTTGCAGCTTGGTCAGTTGGTGCAGTATCGGCTGGCTGAGGCGCGGCGCTGGAAGATGTGCTGCTGACACTGCGTGACCCACAGAACGGCTCACGGCGCACGTGCTGCGCCACAGAAGCGCAGTCTGACGACGGGTTGGCCTCCGCCCAGCTTACAGCTAGTCGGCTAATGGCTGGGGATAGGTGGTGAGGATTGGAGACCACGCAACATGCGCGTCGGAGGTCCTTGCCCGCATCCTTGCCGTTGTCTCCCTTCAGCGTGCGTCAGGACGGGTGGCACGCCTTCCTTACAACCCCTGCCGGGCAGTGGGCGCTGAACAAGGGGTATGGCTGCGATCCTTCTTCGGTTAACGACCTGTCTGATCGTCTGGCGTTGGAGAGTTGGGGCGTTCGAGGACCCCCTGCTCGCTGTATCGGCGATTTAATTTTGGGTAGGGGCTGCGCTTGGCGGTACGTTTGATCAAACTCAAGTGTGTGCGTTGTACCATAGAGCAAATGGGCATCCCCGCAGCCGACCCTTTGCTCAAACCGCCTTTGTCCCGCCTGCCCAACCCAGGCGGATTTGTCATAACACGCCTCAGGCGTTGACGTTTTTTCTTCTTGTTACGCCGCAGGCGTTGACTCCTTAAACACCGCCCTTCGGGTCATTTGCTGCACTTATAGGGGCGCTTTTCATCTCACGTGGGGTGGGCCCGGGCTGGCGGGTGCAAGAACGCCCCGTCCGGCCCCCGGGAGTTGGGGAGTTCGAGGACCCCTCACTGTGTCGGCGATTTCCCACCGCGAAATGCAAAATGCGCCGTGCCACATGTTGGGTTAGGGGCTGCGCTTGAGCGGTGTCTTCATCCTCGCGATGTGCGCTTGATGAAACATGAACCTCTGTGAAAGTCGTCTGAACTCACCGGCGCGTGCAAGTGTCACATCGGCCCAAGTCAGAGCTGGTGCGCAGCAGCGTGCCCGCTACTTAGCTCAGGTCTGCCCTGACAGGCAGCGTGCAAACAAGGAAACCAATGCAGGACACGCGGACTTGACACACCTCATCTTGCGATGTAAAATCGTGGGTGAGTGAGCTTTGGCCATTGTTACTAGTGCGCGTTTTGCGATGGTAGCAGGGCTCTGGCCGGCTGCGCTGGCGAATGGTGAGGCAAACGGCAGTTTCTGGAAGGACGACGAAATCGTCGTGGACCAAGATGGCGTTCCTCATTACGCTGGCGTGCAGCCGGGCTTGATGCGCAGGCGTCGTAACCGTGTCCTGTTCGCCTTTCATTTTCACAACTTGGAAGGTTCCGAAGCCCGAGAAGGAAGCAGCCAGCCCCAAAAAGATTCAAATGAGGTTTGCCAAGCGACTCACCGACGGACTGCGTGGTGAAGCGTGGCGAGCTTGCCCGGCATTGGTCGAGTCCCCGAGGAGCTTCGCGCCATCGATGGCTATGAGAAGGGTTTGGCGCCTTTCGGTTGATTAAGACGGTCGAGGTCGGGGACATAAAGGCCAGTGAAGCTTCCAACATGTGTTTCAGGAAGTCAGAGCTGCTACCGCAAGAAGGGCAAGACGATCGATAGCTACCTGTTGCAGCGCCAGCAGGTGTGGTCAGAGTTGCAAGATGTCGCAGACAAGGTTGAATTGAGCAGTAGTTTGCAATCCTACTTTCTTTCGGAAAACGTGGGCCTGGCCAAGGAGGATTGCCGACAGATCCTGCTTGCGAATCAAAGCAGCGCTCCATCGAAGGCCTCGAGAAGTCGCTCCGGGTCAGCTTCTAGGACATGCTCTACAGAGAGCGCAGGGAGAGCTTGGTGGCGGTCAGCGCGCGCATCGCTAAAGTCTTTGCTGGAAAAGGTTTTGGCAGAACGCGCTATGCCCACGCGACCAAGGATTTCACGGACGAAGGCGATGACATTGAGGACGGCGATGCTTCGGAAGATGGCGACGAAAAGCACGAGCCCTACGCCATGGCTGCCGGCGATGCTGAGACGCTTGATGAGGGTGATCATCCGACATCGGGACGACGACATCTACGATGCCTTCGCCAGCTACCCAGACAGCCAGAAGAAGTTGCGGGAACTGCAAAAGTTTAGAGGTTGCGGGAAGAGCAGCCAGAGTCCCAGCAAGAGCAGCAAGGGGAGTCCGGAGAAGGGACCCCGGAGTGGGAATGGCAAGGGCAAAGCGTTCTTTATTGTCACCAAGAGCCCGCGCTGCTGCGTGCTCCAGGATGGCGACTCCAACAGCTATTGCGACATGGTCTTGGAGGGCACTGCGAAGAAGATGGGCCAGAATGGCGGCAAAACTGAATTTGACAACGGGCGCAAACAGAGGTCAACGTTGTCAAGTACCGATGGACACGAGTGGGAGGTCATGTTGAACATCCCTCCGCCCTACGCGCCAGAGGCTGCTTAAGGATCGGGTCGTGATTCGTGTCGACGCCCGGGGCGTGCAGGCCCGTTTTGCCGATTTTCTTCCGCCCAACTTGGAGGATCTACGAGTACGCGATTCACAAGGCCAGTTTGACCTGTGGGGCATCGCGGTCAGCGGAACAAAGGGACAGCTGGTTGAACGATTGCAGAAGCTCTATCGAGGAGCGTTGGTCCAAAGATGTCCAATCAAGCTGGAGGAGCACAAAGGCGGCGGCCTCCCCAACTCCTGCGGCTTCGGCATCCTCGGCGCCCACGTTCTTGCCCGCGATGCCAGCAGCGGCAGCAGCGGCGGCAGCACCGTCCAGCCGCGTATTTCGAAGCTTGGGTACGGATTCAGCAGCACTGATTCCCGAGACCACAAGAAGGCTGAGGGCTATGAAGGCAAAGGCGTTGTGGACCCCCGCAGCGGGCTTTGGTTGTCGGAGAAAGAGATCCCCAAGTTAGCTGCCAGAGAACGAGATCGCAGTTTGCTGAGGCAGGAATCAAGGCAGGCAGGAGGCTCACAGTTCTGCTAATGTGACAAATGCCGAAAACGGAACTCCTGCAGTACTAATTAGTCAAGTGGTGACAGCTTCAGGACACCACCACGCTCAACATCAATGCGGAAAAGCTAAAAAGCTATAAGCCGAAATTCACCAGCCGGTTGATTCCTAAACAACAAAGTCGCAGGTTCAGGGAGTGGGGGTAATGGAATAGACCAGTATGGTGCGTGGGCAACTTCGCCCAGAGACAGCATCAAAGTTACAAGTGCGTTGTTAGCAAGGTCCAAGGCCCATGGCAGGGCGGGCAGGATAAGACTAGATCCCATGAACTTGTCATGTTAGAAGATGGAATAGGCACAAAATTTTGCAAGCGGTCGCAGGTATGCCGATTCCATCGTAAAACTTTATGCGGTTTCAGCGGTTGCTGCCTCAGAGCGCCAGATATCATGGATACACAGTTTTCTTCAGCATGCAGTTCTGCAATCATGTATGTGACACATGTGAACCAATTCGGTGTGAGGCAATGGCATTCACTGCTTTGTTTTCATCGGTCTTCCTAGAGTTCAGCATGGGCTTCCACAGCGCTGCCGGTTACCTCGTCAGTTTCCTGTCCATGTGCCTCTACTACACTCCCAGCGAAGTACTGCTGTCCACTGATGTGGAGCTCCTAGCGCAGGTCACGGCAGGTAGAGAGAAGGACAAAAGCAAGTAAGGCATGCACAAGCTCGATGGCATGATTTGGCGCATAAAGGATCTTCCAGGACAGCATGGAGATGCGCAACTGCCAGAACGCCCCGGCAGAGCAGCAACAATGTGTTGCACGAAATAGCGCCGTACTCACCCTGCCGGTTGAGAAGCTTGAACAATGTCCCAACACGGGTCTGCGTACGGACCGTGCAAAGCTGTTGCCAGCTTGTGCATCAAAGGGTACTTAGATTTTGCTTTGTGCTTCGGCTTTGCAGCTGCGCCTTCCTGTTCCCCTTGGTTTCGCATTTTGGACAGTCCCAGTACTTTTGGGCTCAAACTGAAGTCCGCTTTTGAATTCGGGCACCTAGTGTGGAACAGCCTGTGCTGGACGATGGACTTTCCAATGAGCTATGCTAGCGATCGTGAGCACCACTCATTTGTGCAGTCGACTGCACGCAGCACGCAGCAAGCTCAGGCGTGAGTTTATGCTGTCCTAAAATGGTGTTGAACTTAGTTTTTTTTCTCTTGCCTGGGAGGCAACTGACTCTCCACCTGGGACGTTGAAGCTCTCTGAGCATTTGTCAGCTCCACTTGGGCCACCGCCAGGACTTGAAAGTGCATCTTTGCCCACTCTCCTGTCTGCTAAAGCTAAGTCGAGGAAACCGAGGAGGGAATCAGATTCAAAAGGTCCAAATCTGATTTGCCTTGTGCGCACAAAGGAAGGTGCGCAGGCAATGTGTGCTCAGCTAGCAAGTCTACAAGCACCCTTCCTCAATGACTTTCGATCAGAGTTGGTTTCGTCCCTGTTGCCAGATCTGCCGAGTCTCGCCTGTGCCTTGGAGGAATTTGTGGAAAAGACATTTGTGGAAAAAGAAGGCGTTTGAAGCTTATCTGTTCATGTATGTGGAGTAACCAATCAAACATGTGCTAGCAACCTGCATAAGGTAGCTCACCCGCCAAATAAGATGCTACAATGGGGATGGCATATGGGCGATCCACAACATGTGGAGTCTGAAAGCTTGAGGTGACCCGCATGCTTCACAAGTGATCACGCAACTCATCACTCCCGATGACGACTTGTGCCTGGAGCTCTGCAAGAAAAGCGTGCGGCGGCTTCGCGGCTCGCTGCTGAAGCTGACCAAGGTGGGACCGCTTGCACTGTTCGGGGTTGCAATGAAGCGTGTTTTGCAGTATGTTTGGGCCGTCAGGACAAGCATGGATGCTGGATTGTACAGCAAGCACTCCAGTGTGTACCAGCAGAATTTCATGCCTTCCTGGCCTTGGAGCTACGCGGCAAAGTCTTGGCCTGCAGCCAGCACTTGCATGGAAACTTTGTCTTGCAGAAGTGCGTGGAGTTGCTGAGCCACAATGATGTAACCTTCATCGTGGAAGAGCTGAAGAACCATGCTGTGGAAGCTGCATCTCACGTCTACTCCTGTCGGGTCTTGCAGCGCATCATTGAGCATTGCCCACACGACAACCCAGGCATGAGTGATTTGCTGAATAATCTTCTGCAGAGTGAGACTTTGCACAAACTTGCTATGGATCCTTATGGAAACAACGTGCTTCGCGCAGTCCTCACGCGTGGAAGACCCCTTCATCTCAAGCAGATTGCCACGCTCTTCATCGATGATTGCAACATCCTGGCATATGCTCGGAATCGTCATGCCAGCTTGGTGCTGGAGCGGCTTTTGGAAGCGATGAGCGGGGAGTTTCGAACTGAACTGCAGGAGGAGAGGAACGCGTTGATGATCGCCTTGCTTGGACAAGACACGCCCAATCCTCCCTTCACGCAAATGGCTTTGGACCGTTTTGGAAACTACATTGCTCAGAGAGTCATTGAAGACTCCCAAGACATGGAGCAACAAAGGATTCTCCATCTGCTGAGTGCCTTGGGTCCAAAGCTTCGTCGTGCCGTCAATGGACGGCACATCCTACAGTCAGCGCGGAGAAAGTTCGGCTCGCAACTTTCCTTTCATTTCCCAGCCGCTTCGGATCCACTTTGAGAGGCCTTTGCGCGGTCTCGCGCGCATGTGCAAACAGTACAGTTTAATTAGCAAGGAATGCCCTGCGACAACCTGCAGGCCAAGGTTCGCAGGGCATCCGAGGCTCCCAGAGCCATGCAGAAGGAGACGCAGGCATCTTGCCAGTAAGAAGCTGATCCTGCGCCTTGACCCTCTCCTGACCATTACGGCCGGACGCTCAGCCACCAACGCTTACAGATGTTGCCTCTGTTTGATTGGGCCAAGGTTCGGAAGCAGAAGGCGATCGAGCGACTCAGTGTGGCTTTGGTATCGTCTCAATACTTGAATTCGCCTCCTCCACAACTCGAGGAACAGAATGCCTTTCTTGAAGGCGGAAAGGCACCATCTAGCTAGCGCCTAGCACTACATAGATGAGCTGAGGGTCCCTTCCACGTGTACAGACCGCTGCAAAACTGCAGCCTAAAGGCATCAGACGTCCCCAGCCTTGCATAGCCTGCCCGCTTTGCGGGATCACAGCCGAGACATCCGGTTCTAGAAAACATGGTGTCCGTGTCAGTAGATGGCGGCTATCAGAGGTTGCCGAGGAGCAAGGCTGTGCTGCAGCGTTCTGGCTTTGTGAAGCGCTGCGGCAAGGCTGTTTGGGGAGGGGCAGCTGGGATGCCCCAAGCATTGCAGGCCTGGCGGTAGCGTTTTGGGTGGTCAGATCGCAGCCAACGAATGCAAGCACCAAAAGGGCACCGAACTCGCCAAACATCGCCAAACGTCATTGCAGGCTTCCACGGATGCCGCGAGGCCGGGCAGGGCATGGAATCGCAAACATGTTCGGGTCCTGCTGCGTAGCGGCATGCGGGCTAAATGAAAGAGCACGATTTTCAGTACGCATTTGCGGACATAGCTGTCTTCGGCCTTGGGCAAGGTATGTAAGGCTTTGGACCTCAAACTGAAGCACATCCCATTTCTTTTTCAGTTCTGGATCGGTAGACGGCAAGCGAACAATAGATTACATCAAACGCACGCGGGGTTTTGAGAGCAAGCTGGAGGCTGGCACATCAGCAGCTGACGCCTTCATCCTTGCCCCGTCCTCTTGCCATCCCAAGTCGAGAGGCAGAGAGATGTAGCAATCCCGCAACACCGCAGCCGCAGAATGCCGCAGCAGCAACCGCCACCAAACCCTGTCAGGGCGCAGCCGCATGAGATGATGACAACGCCAGTGCACCAGAACCCCAGCCCCTGAAGGCACAACATTTATGCAGCTGCCCAAACCCCCCTCGGCGACTGTGCATTCATAGTGTGGGTTGTGCTCTAAAGGTGCTGCTCACGTAGATGTTTCTGTCCGAAATGGAAACTAAGATGACACGCCAACATGAACATGCCAGGTATGCAACTGAAAACTTGCCTTGCAGATCACCTCTCCACTGATAGGAACATGTCCACACCAAAGTCTGTTGCAATCATGCAGTCACGCAATTAGTGCACGCACCACGCAATCAATGCACAAGCTGACTTGCAACTGTCATGTTGGACAACTGTACAGCTGTAAAACTGTAAAGCAAAGGCCGTCGAATCTTTCCGCACAGGGGCAGATTTATAATCTGCCACACAGGGGTGGTCTTCTACAGGCACATGGAGGTTGATCAGTTCCTGTAGAATGGCCTGGCCGGATTGGGTCTATGAACGTCCATTCTTGAAGCAGACCGCAGCTACATACCGCAGCAGAAGTGTTGTAGAAGCATCAAAGGAGTGTGCCTCTGAGCCACTCCTTAGCTCTCGCCCCCGCTTTGATCTGTGCAGACAGGGAGGGCTCTGAGTGAAGCTGGCCATAGCATCCGCACTTGGTAGGTCTTGGGCAACGCAGGTATTGAAAGTGCGGCTGACTTTGCATTTTTCTTTGCCTGCGGGGATGAGGCCCGAGAGTGCTGTATCTTGGCTGATTCTGGCTATACATCGGACCGTTTCGTGACAGCGCGGGAACAGTGCCGTCGCTGGGTCCAATCGGACCAGCAGCGTGTTAGGGGGCCGGCCCCCAAACCAATGCCGCCGACACCGCGGGCCAAGGCCCTGCCTTTGGAGGCGGCACATAGAGATCTGCTCTCGAAACGCAGGCGAGCTTTAAATGATACTTGTAGCCTTACTGGGTCCAAGCAGCAACGCTTTCAAGTGGCGACCCAGAAGCAAGTTCTTTATCAGCTTAACCCGTACCAGCAGGTTTGGGCCCACCTGCGGCAGATCTGGGCTTTACAGGCAAGTCCAACCTCCGCTGGGAGGAGGCGGCCACCAAATATCCTGAAGGCGTGCCAGCGCCAGAGCCTGGGAACAGTCCTCGCCCCTGGGTGCTTTCGAAGCTTGTCAAGAATAACATCACGCAACTGCAACCTCCCGTCAGGGCCTTTCGACGCTGGGAGTCTTGGCCAAGGGCAACAGATACGACCACTAACGTGCCCCCTTCAGGTCGCGGGGCGGTGCCTGTGTCTGTACAGCCTCGAGGGAATAAGCTGGGCCTTGCTTTTGCCCATAGTCTTGCCGGTGCGTGCGTGCATGTGTGTTTGGTACAACAACCACCCCATCTCTGAGACGGTGCCCCCAGCTTAGTACTCTCGTGAGGGATCACAGGCAGAAGAGCTTGTGTTCCCAAGAAGTAGGCTGTTTTGCCAAGTGCCCAGATCCAACCCAAGCTGCTCGCGGTTTGCGAGCCCCAGGAGACTTTGCGAGGTCTCTAAGTTCGCATGTCGGCCTAGCTTGGGGAGCGGGCGCACAACGAGCAGCCAAGCGGCTGCGCCACGGCATGATACTGTGAGCATAGACCGAAGGTCATGCTCAAAGAGTAGTGTTGATGCTGAGGCTCATTGTGTGCTGCCAATGTGGCTTAAGGCTGGGCTGCGAATGATGTGCCTCGGGTCACTTGTAAAGGAGTAAAGTAGTTTAAGAGCATAGCAGCATAGCAGCAAAGCATACTTTCCTGTGTGAAAAAATAAGCTGAAGCGGTTACGCTGCCATGGGTTCGTGATGAAACAAGGCAAGGACCATGTATTCCCCCGACGACGCCGATCCAGGTCCCTATCCTTCTTTGCGCAATCCATACAGCCGCGGCTAGGACATAAATTTCCGGCACCCCTGATGTGTTTGTTTGCTTGGCTGTGGCTGAAGTCCCCTCAGCCGCGGCAACCCAAATGGTTTACAGCCGAGATTAAGAAAAAGCAGCCTCCGCAGGTGAGGTTGACAGGTGGCCGTGTCTGAATTAGCTGCAAGCGCCGCGCAACAAAAGTTGACACTCATCGCCACGTCGGCGCTCGATCTGAGCGTTCCTGACACCTGTTATGTGTGAAGGATTAGTTTCCAGATCTTTCTGGGGAATGTGTGCTTGCAAAGACTGTGGCGTGCACAACGCACGGAGCGGCGAACACGTTCGGGTTGTAGTGGGTGGCTCGGCAATCCCTAACGATGCTGAAATCAAAGCTTTGCCTTCCGCCCGCGCTAGTTTTTTTTTCAGCTGTGATGTCCTTTAGAACGGAGGTTGACGCAGATTGCGATTCATGTGAACAAACAATACGAAGAAGGCACAAGCGAGAAGGCATGCAGGACAGCGGTTGAGGACAGAGCCCAACCTGAAGAGAAAGAGAGCAAATGATGTGGCTAGATTTGTAGGAACTATGCTGCCAGCAAGTCAAAAACCAGACGGAAGCTTGTGACCAGATGCATGACCAACACTCATTACAAGGATTGATTATTTGCAAGCAAATCTTTCCAATTTGAAAGGAAAGCATGCAAGAACAACTGGTCCAAAGGTCGGCCTCTCCATTGACTTCTTCTCCTTCTGCAAGGGTGCCGCATGCTGTCAAGCTGGTTTGTAGTGTGAGTTTTGCAAAGCGTTGTACACATGAAGGAGAAGCAGAAGAAGGATAGCGCGGTCGTCCTACAGCTTGCCAAGACAAAGATGCCGAGCCAGCATGCTTGTGCACATGGCCATGGCGTTCTGTTCTTTGCATATCCCGTCATGGCTGCTTCGGCATTGCAGGTGTAGCTTCTTTGAAAAAGGAAAGTGTTCCTCCGAGACATGCAGGCGGTATGTCCGCTTGTGCAAGAAGTCCATGCAATGGGCCTTTGATGTGTACTGTATGCCTGCAAGGTATGCGCATTCGCTTGGCGAGCTCCGTTGTCCACCAAACCTGCCCGGAGCTTGGTTTTGCTTTCAGCGCTGGGTGTTCAGAGACGTGACTTGCGTGACTTTCTGAGGCAGAAGACCAAGCTCTGCAAGCAAGCCGGGCAAGTAATTCAACTGTCATTATCATGCTTTACCCTGGCCACTACTCTAGTGTGCTTATCAGCGCAGCTGCCAGGTCCTTTTTGCAGGGCAAATGCGCTGACGGAGAAAACTGCTCGTTTGCACATGGGGATGCCGACCTCCGTGTGACGTCGGGAATCTACAAGACCCAGATGTGCAACTTCTATGAACGTGGCCACTGCAAAAAGGCAGTGACATGAAACAACAGCTCCTCGTAAAGTCTACCATGCTTCTCAGGGCGACCGCTGCAATCACGCGCACGGCGATGCAGATTTGAGACCTTCCTTCAGTCCGCAAAAGACGCCTGCACGAAAAGGCAGCTTTTTTTAATCATCTGAGCAAGCCACAATATGAATCGCGCATGCAGGTTACATGAGCCTGCTCCTCACGCCAGATGCGCCAACGCCTCCAAAAGTGTCTGCTGCAGGCAATGTGCAAATGCACCAAAGCTGGCAAGTGAGCTTGCTGTTTTGATGTGCCAAGCGGTACTTTGGTTCTGTCACAGCTCTGGCAGATGAAATGCAGGCGACGGCAGTCAAA